AGGTTATTATATAATCGTACGAAAAACGCCAAGTGTCCCTTGCAGCTATCGAACGGATTTACTAATCGGGATAGTCTGCAAAAAAGGCAGTAATAAAACTGTAATTTCCTTAGTATTAAGAAGTGACTCGATAATTATAGTGCAGTGGATCGCAGTTTTCATTGCGAAGAGACTAACAAAGAACAATAGATTGCGTGTAAATTCAAAAGGACTATTTTTTTGTATACAAGTGTTCCGAAAAAGAGCGATATAAAACTTGTACCGTTATTCTCTTTTTTTTGTGTGTTAATCGAAAGAATAAGTTTCAGTGACTTTCGAAAGATGAATAAAGTCTCATTCTCCAACTCGTCTTCGCTATTCGGTCCCTATATACATCATCCTCCATACAGTTCAAACCACGAAGGCTCAAAAACAAACAGAGGATGAAGACTTATGTGATGATAATGAAGTCCAAACTAGACGATGTATTTTCTAAATTATATGAAGACTTATCAGTATAAATTCAAGAATTACCACGATATTTGTTATATGTGTTTGAAGGAATATCTAAAATTTACAGGAAGAAGCAGGACGATGTACAGAATATATGAATTCATTATCGAATCAATAAATTACTACAGAAACGCAACAGAAGACCCTGCACGAGAAGAGAAAAGAAATAGGTATAAGAAGAACACAGTTAAAGTTAATCTTATTCAGACTAGCTTAATATTTTTTGTAGTTTAAATGTATGAATCAAACAAGTCAAGCCGTCTAACAAAATTAGTTACACAAATAAAATTACTTGTACAAATAATGAGAGTCTGACCACTTTGTACAATGCAGTTAAAAATATTTTCAGATTTATCTTGGTGAAGGCATATGTAGATGCGGTTAAATGGAGTTTGTTAAATGCCGAGAAGAAGCCGAGTTTATTTTTAGACGAACTTGCTCTTGTTCTGTGGAGTGAACGTGAGTTAGCAAATAGGCCGGGCGTTTGTTATCCGAACAGATATGGAGTGTAGAACTGGCCATTTACCAATAAAACTTATTGAAAAAAATAAGTTAGGATTTTTAATAAGTAAGCTTATAATCAAATTTTAACGTTAAAATATCAAGAGACAAAAATAAGGAGTTTCATCTAGCATCCACACTTTTTATTCATTAAAATTCATGTAAATGAATATTTGTATGACTTATCTGGATACCCTAGAAAAATACAATTGCTTTGTATTTTGCTTATTGGGTTGGCTCATGTATTTGGTGCCGTGTTTAACCATAGTAAGGGGTCTGGTGATATAAAATAAATAATACTGCTCATAATGCGTTAAATATTACTGATAATAATGATCAAATACTTAAAGTATTTTCTTACACCTAAGAATTAGTTATTAAAAAAAAAAAAAAAAAAAAGAAAAAAAAAATTTCCGTTTTTAATTTTTGTACGGAGGAAAAAAAAAATTGTCAAAGTGCCTCATCGGCGTCAGCAGCGACAGGAAGCGTTTAAGCGATTGACTACTACACACGATTATACAATACACGTGATACAAATATTACACTTGAATAATGTAACTCCTCGAAATCAACTTTGACTACGTTTCCCAGTGAACGTATTTTATACCCACAACTCCTGTCGGTTAACACATCNAATTAATTTGTCTAATAAATATGCATTTCAGGCCTGTATTTTGAATACCTAGAACGAAAGAATGAATGCAGCAAGGAAAGAAAAATTGAATATTTATTGAAAGTAATTTATAACTTAAGACATCGTATACGAGACTATAGAAAAAACGCAAAAGAGAAATCTGCCAGATACAGTCAGGCCAACAATAACGATATCTCTATTTAAAATATCAGATATAATTAGCGTACAGAATGTTGAAAACCTTTTTTTTAAATGCGAGTCGAAGATCTTCAAATGTTTCTAATAACACGTATGATTTGTATAAATTCATACGTATGTATTTTTTACCCAGGTTTAAGATTTTTCAATGGAGAATTTATTCGGGAATGTTATAAAAAGTTAGAAAAAGCATGTTACCAAATTTAGATTAGGCAACAGCCATGTAACTATGTGTTCAGTCTTTGGTATTAAGTAACAATATAAGTATGTAATGTTTATAACTTGTTAACAAAGCGCAGTGATGATAAACTTTAAAAAGCTTTTGTTTTAACTGTATTAGAAACAGTTTAAAAAATCTTTGATACATCGAATTAAGTGTAAGCAAACAATAAGTCACGTAGAAAGTTTTAAAGTGCGTGTATTAAAATCTTGAAAGTTAAAAGTATATTATTAACAAAAAACACTAGTTTTTAGACTTTCTTACATAAACTCATTAATCAATAATATATTTAGTTTGAACCCTTACAGTTATATAATTGACATTATGTAAAAGTCACGTATTAAGTATTAGTTTGATATAGTTAAATATTATATTTCACACTAAAATGATATACCATGTCCGTAACGTTGATTTATCAACTTTTGTTAGTAATAAAACGCTTCTTATAATACCAAAACAAGTGAGATCTAATATTTTATGTCAATATTGTAAAAAGCAATATTTAGTTTTACAATATTGACATAAAATTTGTATTTCATAAGTATTTAATGTATTATATAATAAAAAACTGATTGTTACCTTTTTTTAATGAAGTTATTCTAATAAAACAGATAGTGAAATTAGCAACGTAATTTGAGTTATTTAATTTATCAAAAGTCGTGTTATGATCTCGGGATAATCACGTGATTGTCGCGTGATTATCACGTGAGAAATCAGTTGAAAACCTCTCGTGAAAATCCCGTGATTTTTACGCTATTTTTACGTGATAATCTCGCGATTGTTGCGTGGCAGCTTTAACCAGAGAAGGCAATTGATTAAAGTTCTGTTTTAAAAATGAATTAAATTGTCACAAAAAAAATGGATTATTTGGTGGGAAAAAAGAATTTTATTTTTATCAGCCGTTGAGCAGAAACATATATAAAGTTTTGTACAAAAACAATACGCTGGGTTTAAAATAAAATATTCTATATAAATGACAGAAAACAAATATTGGAATAGTGTTATCAGAAAGAAGTTAAATGAAATATGAGTAGAGTGTGATGTATGCATGTTCACAGTCAGCGGACTGGAGAGTCGCGCCGCCTGCGTGCCTAAGCAAGCAGCCTAGTTATATATATATATATATATATATATATATANATAACGTATAAAAAAATGGTCTTAAAAAATATATAAAAAGTATAAAAAATAGAATATCGTTCTTACAATTAAATACAAAAAGAAGTACTTTTACAACCGTATTACTTTTATCTTCCATATTTTTTTTTTTTCTTTCGTTTTTTGTTGTTTTGTTTTTTTAAAATCATTTTTTAAAATACAAATCATATACAAATATTGCACTTATTATCATACACATTGTAATTTATGTATATATATATATGTAAGCGGCAGTCCGTGTGCAGGCACGTACGCGAGCACACGTCTCCCACTTCAGGCTAACCTCTGTACATCATCAGTGTGATCAGTAAAGCAGTTAAATCTTATACCCTTGCCGTACCTTCCTCCTAATCACCTTGTGTAGAAACGACAATTGGCGACGAGGATAAAACGACGGTCATCAAGTTGGTTTTGTAAGAGTAAATCGACTCAAGGAAAAGAGACACATGCGACGTGCCTTGGGCTCATACGTTGTTGCATCAGTATAGTCCAGCGAGCGAGAATTCGGGAGAGCGACAGCATCAGGGATAGTCATGCTGTTCGCTGGTCATGACGAATGAAGATACCGTCATTTGTGAAAGCTGTAATCCAGCGTTTGAGGACCTTCTCAAAGAATTGCAAGACGTCACCGAATCCGCAGTTAAGTTCCAGGGGGATTATCGAAAGGCCATTAATGAACTGACGACAGTTAAAAAACAATTGGAGAAAAACATGTCTGTCAAGGGGATTATTGGACTTATCGAGCCTTTCGATATCAATGAAGACGACTGGGACTTGTGGATCGAAAGATTCGAGTTGTTTGTTGCCGTAAATGACATCGAGTCTAACAAAAAAGCGTCTTTGTTACTGTCACTTCTGGGTAAAGGAGGCTATATATGCGCTCATGTGAAGCTTGTGTACGCCTATCAATCCAGCAGAGAAAGAGTTCCCAGAACTGGCTGAATTGTTGAAAAAACACTTGCGACCAGCACCAAGTGAAATCACGGAGCGTTTTAAATTCCAAAAGTGTGTTCAGGTAGCTAACGAAAGTGTGAGTTTGTTTTGCTCGAAATTAAAGAAAGCAGCCACGCATTGCAATTTTGGCTCGGAACTGAACAATCATCTGAGGGATCAGTTTGTGTGCGGAGTGGTGATGATGCAATCAAGAAATCGCTTTTACGGGAAGAGAAGTTGACGTTCGACTTACCCTTAAAAAAGTCGTTAGCTATGGAGTCGGCCATGCGTGATGTAGCCGGAATGGTGCAAGGAAAAAACGCCAGTTCCGTGAATTACGTCTATGGGAAAAAACAACAACAACGCGGCCAAAGACAGAGAGAGAAGTCAGCACATAAGACTCATTCGCCGGTGGATGCATCCAAGGAGAAGCGAGATAGCAGCGGTGCATGCAGGTGTTGCGGGCGCAGTGGGCATTCATCTTCGGATTGTCGAATAAGAGGTTATGTGTGTAACGCGTGCGGGAAAACAGGTCATATTGCGCGCGCGTGCGGTAACAATAAGGTTAAGCAAAAAAGTATCGGCGGTAAGTCGAAAAGTAAAAATTATTTTGTAGACGACAGCGACGTTTGCTCGTCCAACGAGGATAAAGGGAGCGGTTCAGACGATGTATTTGCGATAAATGAAAAAAAAGTAAATAGTCTATCGGTCGAGGTGTTAGTTGTAAATAAAAAAGTGAAATTTCAGATAGACACAGGGTCGACTATTTCTGCTATATCTAAGGCGACGTATGATAGTTATTTTGAGAATGAGTTTAGTTTATCAGAGACTCCGCGCCGTTTCCGTTGTTATACAGGGGAGTCCATGTGTCCGATCGGCCAGGCTGAAGTGTCTGTAGTATACAAAGGGTGTAAGCGTACTCTCGAATTGTTTGTAGTGCCTGGTAAGAATGAACCGATTATGGGACTGGAGTGGGCTTGGGCTCTCGGTGTATTAAAAGAAAACCTTGACGGTGCAATTTTTATTAACAAAATCGACGAAGCGTCTCTGAAGCATGATTTTGGTAGTGTATTCGTGAATGAGTTAGGGCTGTACAATAGAAGGGAATTCAACGTAGTGTTAAAGTCAGGCGCTGTGCCAGTATTTCGTAAGCCAAGGTCAGTGCCTTATGCAATTAAGGGTAAGGTCGAAGCCGAACTAGATAGGCTAGTGAAAGAGGGTATACTTGTTCCGGTAGAGTGTAGCGAATGGGCAACCCCCATCGCAACGTTATTTAAAAAGAATGGACAAGTACGGCTGCGTGGTGACCTCAAAGTGACGCTAAATCCGGTAACGAAAGTAGATAGATATCCGATTCCGCGCGTTCAGGACGTTTTAGCAGCGTTGAAAGGGCACGCCGTGGAGTAGAAATTAGACCTAACTCAGGCATATTCTCCAATCAAGCTGGGGGACGCATCGCAAGAGTTAACGACGATCTTGACGCACAAAGGGTTGTTTAAACACACGCGAGTTCCATTTGGCGTGGCGTCTGCCCCAGGTTGGTTTCAGAGAGAAATGGAAAAATTGTTAATAAGCGACATCGAGGGAGTAAGTGTATTTTTCGATGACATATGTATAGGCGGTCAAACACAAGCAGAACACGATGAGCGTTTGAAGGCAGTTTTGTTGAGGTTAAAAAACGCGGGGTTGACGTTAAACTTGTCAAAATGCTTGATCGCGCAATCAAAAATTAAATTCTTGGGCTATGGAATTGATGCTAAAGGAATTCACGTTCCTGATGAGAAGATTAAGGCAGTAAAGAAGATTCCACAGCCTAAGAATATTAAAGAACTGCAGATGTTTCTTGGCATGATAAATTTTTACTCTAAATTCATAAAGAATTATGCTATGATTGTAGACCCTCTATACAAGTTGTTGAGGAAAGATGACAAATTTAACTGGACTCGTGAGTGTGAATTGGCATTTGAAAGGGCCAAAGAAAGCATGGCATCCTATGAGTTTTTAACTCATTTCGACCCAAAATCTTATCACACGTAATGCCCGACTCCACGGTTCGTCCGGTGCCATATGCGTCACGCACACTCACGAATCCGGAACGCAATTACGCGCAAATCGACCGCGAAGCAGCGGCTATTATTTTTGCAATTCAAAAATTCCATGCATATCTATTCGGATTTGAATTTATTTTAGAGACGGATCACAAACCGCTCATTCATATTTTTGGGAAAAATAAAGGGTTACCGCTGATAACCACGGCAAGACTACAAAGGTGGGCTGTTATGTTGTTGGGTTATAAATACAAGATTTTCCACATTAAAGGCAAAGATAATACTCAGGCTGATTGCCTGTCGAGACTGAATAACAGTGAAGAACTGAGAAAGGAAAAAAATTCAGGATTAACTAATATAAACTATTCGGCTGAAATTTTTAATTTTTTTACCAGCGACGATTTGGTTGATGCGATTGGAAATGATAGGGTTTTGAAAGCTGTTCGATTGTGCATCCGAGATGGCTGGCCAATCCAAGTAAGTGAAGAGTTAAAAAAGTATAATGAAAAATCGGCAGAGCTTTCATTAGAGAATGGTTGTATTTACTGGGGCCATAGGCTGGTAATCCCAAAGTCTCTTCGGCAAACAGCCCCAACGAAAAAAACTAGTGTGAAAAAACGTAGCAAACCGTAGTTTTCTGTGATGTAATGTACAGTTTAGTTGGATTTCGGACCACAGTTACAGTTTGTTACCTTTTGTTACGTTTGATTATAGTCAACTGCAACCCAACACATTGTCTTACGATTTGTTACATTTTATTATAATTCTAAAAAAACACTTGAATCTCGTGAAAAAGCAACTGTAGTAAACTCTAATAAACTGTAAGGAAGTGTTGTCATCTGTAATATTTTATAACAGCTTACAGTTTTTTGCAGTTTATTACACTTTTTTATATTTTATTATCATTGATAACTTTTAGACACATTTCCTTACATTTTCGAATAAAATTTGCCCTAAATGAAAAAAACTTGAGTAACTATTATGAAAAAGTATAAGTGTCACAGCATGTAGTAAATCATATTAAAACGTAAGAAAATGTAAAAAAATGTAACACAACATAATAAAGTGTAAGAAACGTCCGAAATCGATGAGACTATTACAGTTCCTTACATTTTCTTATATTTTCTTGCGGGTTACGGCATATTATTACACATGTTCACTTTTTCTAACATTTTGTTACGTTTTCATATTTCCGCTGGGGAGTATTATCTGAATTACATGCAGGCCATATGGGCATTGTAAAAATGAAAGCTCTGGCGAGATCTTTCGTTTGGTGGCCAGGCATCGACGCAGAGATAAACGATGTAACTAAGAGCTGTGCATTGTGCTTGTCGAGCGGGCCTGACCCTCCGAAAGCTACACTGCATACTTGGAAATGGCCGGAAGAGCCTAACGCGCGAGTTCATGCTGATTTTTTAGGGCCAATTCAAGGGAAGATGTATCTGATCTTGATTGACGCGTTTTCTAAATGGGTACAAGCTTATGAGATGCGTGATATCTCGGCAAAAGCGACAGTGGAGGCTTTCAAAGAATACGTCGCAGCTTGGGGCCTTCCTATCAAAGTAGTAACAGATAACGGTCCAGCGTTCGTCGCTCGTGAATTTCAAGAGTTTTTACACAAAAACAATATTATTCATCTGACGTCACCACCGTATCACCCGGCCAGCAATGGCGCCGCTGAAAATGCAGTAAAAACGTTTAAAAGTAAGTTTAAAATTTTTCTGATGGAGGGAGCGAATAGAAAAGAAGCATTGGCTAAATATCTGTATCACTACCGTTCTACTCCACACGCGACTACAGGCCCTTCGCCTGCAGAACTTCAGATTGGTAGGAAGTTCAACGAAGTTTAATTTATTAAAAAAGAGCGCATCAGTCTACGTACCTAAAAAACAAACAGCACAGCGGGAAAATTTCCGCGGCATTCGTAAAGTAGAATTCCAACCAGGTGATACGGTGATGGCAAAAGATTTGCGTAATAATGATTGGAAAAAAGCGACAGTTGAATGTAAACAAGGGTCTGTGCTGTACCAAGTTAAGACCCAAGCGAATCAGCTGTAGAAGCGCCACATTGACCAATTAAAACCACGAGTGTCGAGGCCGGAGGAAGATCTATTACCCTCTGAATCGCACACTCCAGTTTCAAGTTTGTCAAGCGTCAATCGTAACTCTAATCTGAGAGTTAATTTAAGTTCTAATCAAGCTCGTGGAATTGAGCAACAAGCCAATAAAGAGACCAAAGAAGTAATGGTTAAGAGCGAGCCGACTTCGACCGAGGCAACTGCGAGTGGACCATGCACTCAGGTACAAAATCCCGAAGCACCGTTGCGTCGTTCGGCTCGCACAATTAAGCCCGTCCAACGCCTAAATTTCTAAGCACGCCTCTTCTTCTTAAGGGGGGAGGATTGTGATGTATGCATGTTCACAGTCAGCGGACTGGAGAGTCGCGCCACCTGCATGCCTAAGCAGGCAGCCTAGTTATATATATGCGAGCGGCAGTCCGTGTGCAGGTACGTACGCGAGCACACGTCTCCCGCTTCAGGCTAACCTCTGTATATCATCAGTGTGATTAATAAATCAGTTAAATCTTATACCCTTGCCGTATCTTCCTTCTAATCACCTTGTGTAGATACGACATAGAGCAGTTCATTTGGTAAGGGGAATACAAATATTTCGTCTACTATCGTCTACTACAAAATCATTAACTTTGACGTTCTTTTCCGTCATTGAGCGAATGAATTATTGGATCGCTGTTTCTTAACTAAATATGATTCATGTAAACATCCGCCTTTTACTATTTTAAGGTATAATTGCGCTCCATCAGAAAAGTCGAAATGACGTGTAACGTTACACTGTATCATCGTCACCTGTATCACTCATAAAGATAATATAATAGAGGAAGCGAACTGTATATTCTTCTGTAAGTGGAAGTGTACGGTCAGTAGACAGAGAAAGACGACTGTTTTGGTCTTGCATCTCTCTCTGCTCTGTGCATTGATTGGCTGCTGGTTGACAGTGCATATCGTTGTAATTATAGTAGAGCAGGGGTCCGATACTCTGATCGGGGCATTCGATATTTCGCAAAAGTAAGCATAATTTTCGATAATCCCTGTAAAATAACCAAAAATAACGATAATGCGCATGCGCAGTTTAGGAATTATCACCTCGATTATCACCGATAATCGACAAAAATGCTTACTTTTACGAGATATCGAATGCCCCGATCAGACCTCTGTAGGTATGTATATTGCATTTATGAAGGCAGAAGAGGGCACTTAAAAAAGCCAATCAGGATAAGAGCAGAGAGAGATGCAAGACCAACACAATCTTCTTTCTCTGTCTAGAATCTGTGTGCGGTCACGGCTTGTTCGCTTCCTCTATCATGGAAGATTGTTGTTACCAGAATAAGCTATACCAAAAGTGATGAGCATAGAAAAATAACGTACAGGTCTTGAGATTTCTGCAACCAGTCTCACATTTTGACATACTCATCTGGATCACCGAAAAACCTGTGACTAGTCGGTTTTATAACTATACTAGTACAAGTTTTTCAGTAGCTTTGGTACAGAATTTTTCTGTACCATGGATAGTCTATTAAATTTGTATACTGCGCATGGCTTTCTAGTGTAGCGCACATAGTACGTGCGCTTATATATAGTCGAGAAATCCTAACCCCTTAAGCTTCTATCAAACTTAAAATCAAGTTTTGCTAGTAGTCGGTTTTCTGTACCATGGATAGTCTATTAAATTTGTATACTGCGCATGGCTTTCTACTGTACCGCGCATAGTACGTGCGCTTATATATAGTGGAGAAATCCTAACCCCTTAAGCTTCTGTCAAACTTAAAATCAAGTTTTGCTAGTAGTCGGTTTTTCTTAAAAATTACTTATTATAAAATAGAATTATAAACAAATTTATGTTCTTGTGTTTTTCTTCTAGATGACTCAGAAACAAAGTTACCATTAATTTTATACATGATAACTTGAATTGGAAGAAAAAGCAAAAAGAAACAATCTAAAATGAACTGTAACTTTTTTTTGAAGCCTTGTAGAAAAAAAACACAAGAGTACAAAGTTATCTGAAATTGTATTTTCTTACACAAAAAAGTGGATTTGACAGCTAAAAGTTAATTTAAAAAAAGTTTGATTTCAACGCTTGGCTTCGACAACATTGAATTCTCAATTTTCAAGTTTTTGAGTACATGTATGAATGAAATTTTTTAAAATAAAGTATTAATTGGTTATTTGTTTATGACTGACGATAATGTTCATTCATAATCATGTACTTGAGGTTTAAAAAGTAGAAACTGTAATTTTCTATACAAGTATTTTTTATAAACTTATTTTTTTTCCATCCAAAAGCACTGTATTTAATCAATTGTCTAAGAATTTATCAACTTTTGTACTTGTTTATTTCATTAATTGAAAATTTTGTGTAAATAACCTAACAAGGTTATTAATAAGAATTATGAATATGCAAAATGCATATTTTTCTCTTAAGTCTTTTTGGAAAAGAATGTATGTATGAAGACGTATGTATATATACATATATATACTGACATTCTGAATGCTCCCACTGGCCGACTAACTTTCTGTTCTAGTACAGGAAAAACCCGTACCACGTATCGGATTTTGACGTACTTAGGTTTAGCAAGCATAAGGTTTAGCTATACTCAATAAGGTACTTTAAAGTATACTACCGTACCAAATATACCTGTATCAGTACACATTTTTCTTGTACAGAGTATCGAAAATACTTGTACTAACATATAGAACCTATTTTTCTGGTAACAACAATCTTCTGTGTATTGTATTATCTCTATGATATCACTACCTTCAAACATCAGCTGAGAGCTGAGATATGATTTATTGCTGGTTACAATCATAGAGATATTATAGATAGAGTTGGTATGCCACCGATTCTTCTGTAAGTGCATAAAGGTGACACACGATAAAAAGGGATGCAACATGGAGCTACCTTTCTATCTCTCTGTGGTCGCTCCTCAGTACCTCAATGGCTCAGTAGCGGCTACTGATTGCCTACGCCTACATATATGTAAAACATCTATAGTCATAGACATATAAAAAATATAGACTGCTCGTTCTTATCTACGGTGCTGAAGCACAAGTAGAAGGAGACACACAACATCGAACGTGGGTATCTGTTTTTTTCGCACATTTTTACCTTTGACAAAGTACGACGGAGACAGATACCCACGCTCGATGTTGTGTGTCTCCTTTTACTTGTGCGTCAGCGCAGTACGTAAGAACGAGCAGTCTTAACGTCTTATATGTCGATGGCTATAGCTAATCAGTAGCGAGCACAGAGAGAGAGAGAAAGGTTGCTCGATGTTGCATCTTTTTTTAACGTGATAACGCTTCCACTTACAGGCTTGCCTACTCTATCTATAATATCTCTATGGTTACAATCAGTGAACCATGAAATATCAAACTAGTTTTATTTGTATAATAATCGTTTATCAATTTTTGAATTTTAATAACAAAGCTTATTTCAAAAAGGAACCTAAAACTATTAGAAATTTATTTAAATCAGTGCATACAGTTGACAAATTTCAATTATCTTTAAATGAATTACCCATGCATTATGTCATGTAGTCAAGATGTCAGTTTGAAATTAATGAAATCACCAAAAGAACTTGCGTCTTGGAACTTTCCTTTGTCTAAGGTTTGTAAAAGTAATATTATCTTTGGCAATATATGAGGTGATTTACAACAGTCGTAGAATACTGTTAATTTTTATAAAATTTTTTGTACTTCAGATTTCGTTGCATATTTATGAATAATATTTCAAATGTCACCTCGAGTGTTAGCAATTTGTTTTTCAGTTAACATAACTAAATAGTAATATATTAAAGAAAAGGTTTTCAATATAAATTAATTATAATCTTAAATAGAATATTAGATGTAATATTCGAATTAACACACAGTATTTAACGTACAAGTCTTGCAACTAAAAATTACAATTGGTGAGAGGTAAATTATATACAAGGCTTCAATTATCAGTACTGCAGGATGTTTAAAATAGTTTAGAAAAATTATTGATAGCTAGATAATCTGTATGATTGGTTGTGATTGCAGCATAAAATGAATTTATGTAAACGTTTGACAAGTTAATTGTTAAACCTGTGTAATTATTTAAGTTCCCAATGTTACTAAATGCTTTTTTTATGCTGAAGCTCAAAAAGCTACATCGTTCGTGTTGTTCCAACTTTGTAAAGTTAAAACTAAAACAACGAACAAGGTTGGGTTGGCTATAAGCTATTATTTAGATCATTATATAGAATCCAATTTGATACATTCTGTGAGTCATAGATTTATTAATAGGCAAAAAACTGCATAACAAAATTTGGGTATAATTTTCTGCACACAACCTTACTATATCCATGCAAATGATAGTTTGAGCCCTTGGGAACTCGAATATTTCTATTAGTGTGAAAAAACTATCAAAAACAAAATATAATTGTGAGCAAAATTTCCAGCAGAGAAATCCAGGCTCCAAAAAAAACTTTTATGTATGGATCTCGAGCGCAACAACAAAGGTAACCACATGAGGACCAAACAAAATGTCAGCAATACAGGTCCAAAAAAAAAATGGTAAAAATGGCCAAATCAGGTTTTTGCTTATACCGTGAAAGCTAAAATTTAGTCTTGAACGTTTGTCTCAACCGTAAATTCTCATGGAAATTTCACCGTGTCGACATCCCTAGTCCAATCTTAGGAGCGGATATCTTGCACTTTTTCGGTTTGATTGAGGACGTGCGTAGGTTTTTAGCGAAGTTTTTAGGGCTCCTAAAATTTTACCGACGTAGCCTCCCCGAGGCCGCTTCTGTACAAGCTCCTCTCTTCGTTTACACACAAAACTCTAAAAGAATGACCAAAGAGCCATCGATTGGTCACCCGAAGCTATTCAGGCCTTTGATAAGACCAAAAACGATCTGATTAACGCTTCTCAGCTGATTCATCCATCTCAGAATGCTCAATCTCGATTAGTAACAGACGCGTCAGATTTCGCTATGGGTGCTGCTCTCGAACCTCCGTGAACTGGGCATCCGTACTTAATTAACAAATTAATTGATTGAATTGAGCAAAAAAGTTGTGCTTCTTTTGCGCGTTCTAAATATGTTTGTAGTTTAATTGTGCGTCATTTAGTTTTTATTTTATAATGAAAAATTGTTTCGGGTGCTACTCAAAATTAAAATTCAATTTACACAAAAACTAATTGAGCTACATCCATTTTTTGAACGCCAATCCATCGCGCGTTAAATGTGGGTTGAGACTAAATACTTATTGCATCAATTGGGCTTATATTTATTATGAAAATTATAAAATATCGTATTTCTATTATTTGCGTATACAGTCATATATTCTGTATGGGCTGCGCAGGGTGCCCAACTTGCAGACTTGCATCCATTTTCAAACTGTCTGCTCAGCTATATTAGCGCGAAATTTAAACATACTAAAACCACAAATATCTACAGAACCGATGCTCTTATTTTAATCTCCCACGACAATACAAGGAAAAATTTTTCTAAAGCAATATGGCGATCCATTGTCAAATTGTTAAATTTAAAGTTTAGAAAGCTGTAAATCCTGTCACAGAAAACGGATCATAATGAAATTAATTGGAATCGGTAAGTATTAACATTATTCTCAATAAAGCCAAATTTTAACCAGTTTTAACCTTTTTTTTTTTTAGTTAACAAGAGCCCACTTTTTATTCTTCGTAATTTCGTAAATTTACAAGATAGATATTTGGAATAACATGCATTTGATTACGCCGATTTTTGAATAAATTTTTTTTAAGAACCCATTGTAGGCCCAGCAGAAGCCGAGACCCGATACTTTAATATTTTTATTTGTTGAGCCTGGTCCACTGCATGTAGACGATTAAAACTTGAGTATTCACTTTTGTAAACGCCAAAATACAAGACGAATATTATTAGACATTAATTGTCACAATAATTGTAAATAAATCGTTTGTTCAAGACTGACATAAATACGACGGCTTACATACATTAGCGTGCGTTCGCTCTGCTACGTCGGTAAGGTCTGGCACCATACCGCTAAATACCGTCACCGCCCTTCGATTTGGCCTACCTACCCTCTACCCTCTACCCATCAGCGTCCCTCACATTTTTAATATCAAAATGAATTACTTGACGATTTGCATGTTTTTTTTTTTTTTTTTAATGTTTTCGATCGCGCTCTTTTTTTCCGCTTAAACAATTGTACTGGCGGAAAAAAAAAAAATCATCGAAACTCGCTAATTTGTGAGTTTTTGTCCCCAAATTTAGATTTCTCTGTAAGAGTGTCTGAAGAGACTCCTTTCTTATTTATTATACGGATAACATTAAAAAGTAAAAACGACCTTATTTGCTGTACTTCAAATTTTGTTGATCTAACTCGTAGGAAAACACAATAATGAACCAAAAAAGAGGTAATCACAATTTGTAAAATTGATCAACGTAGTTGTTTAAAGTGATTGCTAAAAGTAAATAAGTATTATGTAGGAGAAAATTAATATTTACGTGGAATTTACCATAAGAATACTCAGAAATTATCTCATGAAAGATTAAAAATAAAAAGTAATGCATTAAAGTTGTAGAATTATAAGCTTAATAATTAAATGTGCTTGAATACGTGTAAGTATGACAATAATGGTAATAATGATACACTGAGAAGTCACATAAACTTATTCTTGATAACTTTATTACCTTTTAATAGGTATTGATATTTTTAGCAATAATAAATACAAGTATAAAATTACTGCGTGAGTATACAAACAAAATATTTTAACTTAACTTAAAATTACCTTTAATACTATGTTACGATTAAATTTGGTCACTAACATATAAAATGCATGCTATGTTAACATTTTTTTTTATTAACAGCTTGAACTTTGTTCTTTTTGTCATCTCTCATATGCCAGTAACCATTTATAGATTT